AAAAAAAAAAAAATTAAAAATCTGCCAGGCTTGGCAGTGCACGCCTATTGATCCTAGCATTCCGGGAGGCAGAGGCAGGTGAAGCTCTGTGAGTTCAGGGCCAGCCTGGTCTACAAATGGAGTCCAGGACAGCCAATGCTACACAGAGAAACCCTGTCTGGGAAAAACAAAAACCAACCAAACAAAGCCTCTTGCCTGCAGAATCTGGCTCAGTGGGCCCTCCTCTTCCCTCCCCTCCTCCCTCCCACTGCCGGCATCTAGCGTCCTCCTCTCAGGTGTTTCGTAAGCTTTGGTCTTCCTCTCATTCGCACTATTCCTCACGTAGCCAAAGCTGGCCTTGAATTCCTGCTTCTCCTGCCTCTGCTCCCAAGCTCTGTTTATATTAGATTCTGCAGAAGAGGAGAAAGTGGACGCTCTGAGTGTGGGTGTGGGCTGAGAGGCCGTGAGCGCAGCAGCCCTGGGGAACACTTCTGGCCTTCCAGGCACGTTTCAGCCCTTCCGCTGGGGTCAGGATTCCCCAGAGAGAATTCTCCCAGTCTCCCGTCTGGATGCCACTGTTCCGCAGGCTGGGAGATGACAGAGAGCAGGAGGTCTGTGCATGCTCCCTCCACGCACTCTGCACTCCCGCTCAGCCCCGCTGCTCCCTGGGCTTGGCGCTCGCTCGCGCTTTCACCTTCGCTGTGCAGTGGGGCGGGCAGCCACTAAGACACCGTTAGAGATGCCGCAGCCTTTTCTGCTCTGAGACAGTCTTCTGGGCGGCCTTCTCACTTCCCATGTAGACCGCACTGATCTCGCACACTTGGTGATCCTCCTGCCTCTGCCTTCCGAAGTGGGGACTGCAGGTGAGCACCTCCAGCCCTGGCTGAGACCTTCCCGCTTCTGGACCAGCTCCCCTCAAGAGCCCTCCCTGCTCTCCTCAGACGCCACAGACGTCAAGCTGACACTGCCTCTCTGCCTCCGCTTCTGTTTCTAAGGTGGGCCAAGTGCCTCTGGGAGCTGTCTCTCGCTGTCTCCCTCTCCTCCTCCTTGGCCCTTTGGACATCATGCATGCATTCTATTTATTTATTTATTTATTTATTTATTTATTTATTTATTTATTTATTGGTTTTTCAAGACAAGATTTCCCTACATAATCCTGGCTGTCCTGGACTATCCTGGCTATTGCTTTGTAGCCCAGGCTAGTCTTGAGCTCACAGAGATCCGCCTGCCTCTGCCTCCCCAAGTGCTGGGATGATCGGCATGCGCCACCAGTGCCCAGCAGAAACCAGTCTTGTCCTGAGTTATAACTGACTTTCCTTAGCTGGAAGTCCTCTGAATCGCCATCACGGACAGTTTTGGTTTGCCTTCCCCATTTATCATAGTTTTATTTTTAAACAAAGATGTATTTATTACTTTTCTGTGTATGTTTCTGTATTCATGTATGTGCATGGGTTTATGCATTCCATCTGCACGCAGGAAGCTGTGAAGGCACAGGTCCCCTGAACCTGAGTTACGCGCTGTAAGGAGCTGTCGTGTGGGTGCTGGGACTAAAGCTGGGCCCTCTACAAGGACAGCGAGTGCCCTCATCAGTCTGTTACACACACACACACACACACACACACACACACACACACACACACACGTAGGTCTGGCTGGTCTGGCACTCACAAACTATCTGCCGCCCACCTCCTGGGAATTCTGAGACTACAGACAGCCACAAGCATGCCTGGACATTCCTATAAACTCTAGTCACTTTTTCTCTAATGCAGTTTGCTAGCTGGGCTTAGTCACGCATGTCTGTAATCTCAGCACTCGGGGAGGCAGAGGCAGGAGGATCTCTGTGAGTTCGAGGCCAGGTTGGTCTACAAAGCAAGTCCAGGACAGCCAGGGCTACACAGAGAAACCCTGTCTCGAAAAAACCGAAAGCAAAACAAAACAACAAAAAACTATCCACTACAGTTTGCTTAAAGTCTCTCTCTTATTTCCTCGAGACTGTTAAAGATGGCTATCTGCAGTCTTCTCTTGGACTTCCGTTACTGGAAGCTTGCACAAACGGCGGCCGCTCTGTGGCCCTTGCTCTGCGGCGCCCATTTTGCTTTGCGGTGCCCACCCACGCTCAGGCCTGCACTGCCCTCTTGGCTTGTGCTGGCTTTGGCATTTGTTCCTCTGGGCCTTCGCTCCTCCCTTCACTTCTGCCAGCCACCTGGGGGCACTGACAAGCTACATGATTAACTGAGGCTGAGCTGAAGGCTTTGCCCCTGCCGTCCATCGCCGGGCCTAGATGAGCACGTGTCTGTCTTTTCTGAACATGTCTTTCCATGATGTGATTTGTCATTCCCTGTTGATTGACAGCCTGTACCTGTAGACGATTCTTCTATAGCCTCGGGCTTTCTGTTCCAGAGCCACGCGTGGGCTCTTCCCTTCCTATCCCTGGTGCCTTGGACTGACAGAATTCCCATGGATAAAAAAGCCAGTATTGGAACCTTCTGGTCTCTCAGGTCCCCTCACTCACCATCCCCGCACCAAAGCCCCCGGAATTCTTGCCATCTTAGCAAGGCACTAAAAAGAATGTTTTGGGTTTTTATTCCCCTAGTGTTTTAACCCAGCATTTTGGCCGTTTCAGCTGAAAAGATAGCTCAGAGCGCGTGGACCAACACGGTGCACCTCCCCCGCCCCCCTGCTCTCACGCTCCACAGTTCCAGGGAACTCTCCTCAAAATTCCCACCAAGGGACAGCAGCGGGGCTCACGGAACAGCCAGTGACTTAAAGGATCTGCTGAGTACAAGTTGACCTGGGCCTCACGTGGTGGCCCAGGGGGAGGCAGAGGCAAGGCAATCCCCGTGAACAGGAGGCAGCCTTGTCTACACAGGGCGTTCCAGGTCAGCCAGGGCTACACAGTGACACCCTGTCTCTGAATAAACAGATAAATGCAGTTAGTGAGCCAGCGAGTGATGGAGCAGAGAGCAAGGTGGGCAGGTAAGCCTGCAGGAAGTGAGGCAGAGAGGAAGCTGTTTGCCTGTGTTCAGCAGGAGCCACTGTGTTACTCAGTCACACCTGGTAAATGGTGAAAGTATGAATGAAGTTCGGGGATTCACACTTCCTGTTCCCAGATGCAAGGTCACACATGAGATCAAAGCATAAATACTGGGCCAGCAAGTAGCTCAGCGAGTAGAGTGCAGGCACCTGCAGCCAAGCCTGCCGATTGGAGTCTAACTCCGGACCCACCTGGTGGAAGGGAGAACCGGCCCCGGTAAACTGTCCTCCGACCTCCACGCAAGCAAACAAAATCAAAATAATGTTTGTTTGTTTTTAAGCCGGGCGCAGTGGCACACGCCTTTAATCTCAGTGCTTGGGGAGGAAAAGGCAGGAGGATCTCCAAGAGTTTGAGGCACAAAGTGAGTCCAGGACAGCCATGGCTTCACAGAGAAACCCTGTCTCGAACAGAAGGAAGGAAGGAAGGAAGGAAGGAAGGAAGGAAGGAAGGAAGGAAGGAAGGAAGGAAGGAAGGAAGGAAGGAGAAAGACAGAGAAAGGAAGGAAAGGGAACAAAGCAAATACCTTGCCGTAGTCGATGACTGGCAGCTCGATGTTGGGGAAGAGGTCCTGAACGATGGCGTTGAACAGGGGCACGTCCACGGAGGTCAGCTTGGCGATGTTCATGTCCCTCATGGACAGCAGCAGGACCTGCACGGGGCCGGGCCAGGGCCAGAGTCTGTCCCCAGCCGCACACAGCAGTCAGGTGACTCGGGGACAAAGCTTGAGCTGGCGGGTGGGGCCTCGGGGCCTCGGGGCCTCGGGCATGGAACCCCCCCCCCCCGGCTGTGCCGACGCCACCAGGCCAGTGCCAGCAGAGCAGAGGGGCGAGGGCCTACCTCTTCATCAGACAGGTCGGGCTGCAGCCGGCGCTTCTTGCCCGCGTAGCGCAGGAGGGACGTGAGGGCGCGCAGGCCGAAGTCATAGTGGTCTTGCCGGGACAGCTGCTGCACGGCCAGCGAGTACAGCGTGTACACCTTCTTGGCCAGGGTCTGCGCGCAGAGGCCGCGGCTCAGCCCCACGAGCCCCCTTTCATGCGGGGCAGCTGGGCACGCAAGAACGCGGGCAGGGGCTGGAAGCACCTAGAAGGCGCTCCGGACAACTCTAGGTCCTGCGGACTCTGCTGCCGACGGGCGGGCGCCATGGAGGCCACACACCCCACCTCCCTCCGGCCCTGCTCCCCGGCTTCACCTCCCACCGACAAGGCTCCGTTCTCGGGGAGACACACAGGCTCCTCTGCCGGGGAGTAACCAGGCCGGGGACACAGGCTCCTCACCTTGCAGTTGCCAAAGCCCTCCCCGAAGAGAATGATCTCCGCTATCAGCGTGGAGTCGGGCACCACCATGGCGATCGGGCGGAACATGGACTTGAGGTTCTCCGGAAGCTCTGTGCGGCCGGCGTAGCCTGCAGACAACCGAACTTCAGAGCCTCTCTCCCCACAGCCCAGCCCGCCTGGCCCTTACCCCTAACTTTCTCCCTGGCTCTAGCTCCAAGGTGGCATCCTTCCGGGTCTCCATTTTGATTTTGTGTCTGTGGTTTCATTTTTTTTTTTTTAATTTAAGTTCTTTTTTAAATTTTATTTTATTTTATGTGCATTATGTCAGATCCCTTGGAATTGGGCATAGGACAGTTGTGAGCTGCCATGTGGGTGCTGGGAATTGAACCCGGGTCCTTTAGAAGAGCAGACAGTGCTCTTAATCACTGAGCCATTGCTCCAGCCCAAAATTAAGTTTTCATTTTCTTAAGATTTATTTATTTTATTATGTATACAGTGTTCTGTCTTCATGTACGCCTGAATGCCAGCAGAGGGCACCAGCTATCATTATAGATGGCTGTGAGCCACCATGTAGTTGCTGGGAATTGAACTCAGGACCTCTGGAAGGGCAAACAGTGCTCTTAACCTCGGAGCCATCTCTCCAGCCTGTGGTTTCATTTCTTAAACTTTGTATACTTAGTTACCTGGACACTTCAGCCATCAGTCAAACCAAAGGCCAGTTAGAAACCTCTGTCTCTGGTCAGATGACACAGCGTTGCTTCCTACACCGGATACGGCTGCACTTCAGTTACCTGATCGTTACCTACGCCTGTGCTTTGCTTCCTACACCTGGTTACAGTTTTGTCACCTGGTTGCTACTCAGTTATGGGTTTTTTGTATATAAAACCTGCCTCAGGAGCAGCCTGTCCCGGTCTGGCCCCGTCTATTATGGCCCTGAGGCCGAAACTCCATACATGGGAGCCTTTCATTTCCCAAAAGGGACAGGCAGCAGAGCAGGGGCCTAGCCCACCAGGAAAAGTGGCTCTGCCTTCAAAGACCAGGGCTCCGTCCAGACACTAAGGCATCAAGCCCGTCGGGAGGACAGGAAGTGTGCCCCTCCTCTCCTTTCATGTTCCCCTTCTCTGCCTTGTTGCTGAAATTTGGATCTGAAATGTCCCCTAAAGGCTTTGTTCCTAAAGCAAAGGTTCGGAGGTAGAGTCTTCTGGAGGCCGTTAGCTCACAAGGAGCCGGACCTCTCACAGGGCTGTTTCCGGCGGATTTCTAGCTGCTGCTTTAGAAGGGGCAGTCTACCTGAAGGAACTAAGTCCCCAGAGTACAGCCACGAAGCGGTGACTGTCCCCCTCTCCCCATCCCTCTTCCCTCCCTCTCTTCTCCACATCACCCTTCCGTGGCGCCCTGCCTCGCCCTCACGAACAGCGGGCTGTGGGTGAGGCCGTGGGTGAGGCCGTAGGACCAAAGCGCCCTTTCCTTTCTTAGAGCACATCCTCCTCGGGGGTCAGTCCCAGCAGGGACAGCTGGCCGACGGTGGTCTTTGTCAGCTGGTTCCTAGCTAACACGTGGCCGTGGCTGAGAGGCCAGCCACCCAGTACTGATCCCCAATTCTTCCCTCCCCCGCCCCCCTGGGCCTCGAGGCCCCGCCCCGCCCCCTACCGGGGTTCATGGTGATGAAGATCCCACAGGACCACACCAGGTTTATCTCAAAGCCCTCGAAGTAGAAGCGGCTGAGGTTGGCGGTCAGGGCGGACAGGATGGACAGGATCTGCTGCGCCACCACGGACAGCACCTCGATGTTGATGCGGTTGAACTCGTCAAAGCAGCCCCAGGCCCCCGTCTGTGGAGAGAGGGGGGCAGCCCAAGGTTGGGGGAGGGAGGGAGGCAGCCTGAGGTGGGGGCGAGGGGAGGGGGTGCGGGGCGGCCGGAGCAGCAGCGCAGGGCTTGCGGCTGGGGGAGGCTAGAACACCCGTGGGCTGGAGCTTGTGAGCCCCAGCAGCTCCTGGGTGCGAGGCAGGTGTGACCAGGGCTTGCAGGGGGCGCCGAGGGAGGGGTTCCCTGTGTTGTGCAGGAGCTGCCTGGCGGGCCTGACTCTGGCAGCCGCCTTCGGGCCTAAGGGGTGTGGGAGGGCTGTGGCGGCGGGCACCGACCTGCGCCAGCCCCGAGTACATCTTCCCCATGGACTTGTAGTCCAAGCCCTCGGAGCAGTTGACCACGATGACGTAGATGCCCAGGGCCTTGCCCAGGTCCTTGACGGTTTCCGTCTTTCCAGTGCCCGCCGGGCCTTTGGGGGAGCCGCCGCGGTGAAGGTGCAGGGCCGTGGTCAGCGTCATGTAACATCTGAGGGCGTGGGTGTGGCTGGGTGGACCCGGCACCCTGAAGCCCCCAGCACCCCCCCCATCAGTCAAGGTCATGTAACATCTGAGGATGTGGGCGTAGCTGGGCCGTCCCGGCACCCCTCACCCCCCAGCACACACACACACGAATACATGCACACACACACACACACACACACACACACACACACACACGTGCGTGCACACACACACACACACACACACACAGCAGTGAAGGTCATGTAACATCTGAGGACGTGGGCGTGGCTGGGCGGTCCCGGCACCCCTCCCCCCCCAGCACGCGCTCCCCCCCACCAGCGGCAGACCTGTCTGTCAGCGGCGTGATGACCAACCGGCCAGAGTTCCCCAAGTACTCGTAGCCGTACTGGAACTGCGTGTTGGTCTGGCGGATCATACAGTCATCCACGTCCTGAACGACGGGACAGGCCCGGGCTTAGGGTAGGAGGAGGGGGGAAGCCACGGCGGCGGGGCGGTCGGGGGGCTTCTGAGTTAACGGGAGGGGCTTCAGGGCCAAGACAGAGGGCGGACACCACACCGTTCCCCGCCGAGCGGCCCCAGGGAGGACCGTCCCTCCCAGGGGGGGTGAGGAGGAAGCTGTGAGGGCGGAGGACTGGGGAGCCTGCAGGGCGCCGTGGCTGGGGCGGTTTGGGCTGAGGGGCAGCGCCCACTACCTTCTCCCAGTAGAAGCGGAGCTGGCTGAGCCAGTCAAAGGCGTTGACGTCCATGAGGCCGCTCTTATACAGCTTCTCCAGCACGTCGCGGGCGTGGATCTCTATGGTCACCAGAGCCACAATTTTAAGCCTCATGATCTTGGTCAAGCTCCCCCTGATGGCTTCCGAATACTTGTTGAGTATCGACACCTGTGGAACAGCGACAAGGACCAGGGCTGAAGGGCACCAACCGCTGCCGCCCGGGTGCTGCCGCCCGATGCTAGAATCCCGTATCCACCATCCACTCCGGGAGCCAGCTCTGCTCCACGATTC